AGACGCTCACGTGGCATTCTCATGGGGGCTGTCCACTCTTTAAGCTGCTGGTCTCTCTTTAAACATTCTTCTCAGATCTTCCTCATGTGGGTCCATCATCCAGGTGTGGGGATGGGGACCAGAGGAGCCACATTTCCATCTCCTGCTCTGCTCCATTAAGCTCTGCGGCATTTGTCCTTGAAGATAACTCCATTCCGTGACAGTGTCTCTTGACATCTGTGTCAATTCCATCATTGTCCAGTTATGAGAGCAGGGATGGACACCTTACAGGGCCAAGAGGTTACTTTTTGTGTATGAATTGCTTGTTTATATCCTTTGCTCATAGTTCTGTGGAGTTACTTAAATGCCTTTGGACTTCGTCTTTTACAATAATTTTAAGCTTTGGTGTAATGAATCTTTCAGTCTTGACTTTTATAATTCATGTTGCCATGTGGTTTAGGAACTCTTTTCCTGTCCCCAAATCAGAGAGATTATCAGAAGAAAATACAAGGCTCAACTTAAAGTTTTCTTTTCACTTTTAGCTCTTGGATCTATGGTAAATTTATTTTTGTATATGATTTTACGTAAGGACATAATTGTATGTTTTTTCCATATGGTGAGCCCATTTCCCCAGAACCACTTGATTAATCATCTGTCCTTTCCCCACAGATGCCACTTCTGTTGTTCACACACCCATTCACTAGGTAGTCATTGCTTGACTGGTGACAAGAATGGCCAAGAATAGAGCCCTAAAGATAAGGGCCCTCAGAAATAAACTGACAAAAGATAATCCTCTAACACTTGGGTTCTAGGGCTGTCCTTCAACTCTGCTTGAACATTTCCCCTGGGCAGGTCTCCCTCACTACATCCTCCCCACACATCCATGTCTGCCTACCAACTCAATGGTGGCACAAGAAAGAGAATTAGCAAATCTATTATTCTGTGTTGCATGATTTTTATTGCAACATTGCATCTTCCCTGCCAGACTCTTAACCCTCAATCACAGGGATTAGGTCTTTTCATCTTTATTCTCCAAATCTGGCATGGGCTAACACTCAGATGTCAAAAATTGTTCCTCAAATTTTGTGATGAGTTTATCCTAACTATGACTTCAGAAAGACTTTAAGGCTAATAGGATATGAAATGAACAAACTTAAACTATATTTTGAATTCCTTTCTTTAATACTCAGTTACAGAGATATTATGACATTTAATTACATATTTGATTTCATTTATTTATTTATTTATTTTACTTTATTTTAGGTTTTATTTTTAAATACACATTTTATTTTTTTATTTTTTTTGGCATATTTCTTTTTTTTTTTTAATTTATTTTCAGCATAACAGTATTCATTGTTTTTGTACCACACCCAGTGCTCCATGCAATCCATGCCCTCTCTAATACCCACCACCTGGTTCCCCCAACCTCCCACCCCCCCACCTCTTCAAACCCTTCAGATTGTTTTTCAGAGTCCATAGTCTCTCATTCATTTTAATATAGCTATCAATCATGAATATTCAAAAGAAAGTGAATGTTAGCTAGAATATTAGTATACAAAAATGGGTACACAAATAAAATGCTAGTCATCTATGATACAGACCATCTTATAAAAAACGTGTTTATGTGTACATACACATGGCAATGGGCTGAGTTTGATAATGGGGAAAAATTTGGTTCTTCTCTGGTCATTAGCATGGGAAATTTAACTGATTTCAGCTATAATGTAGCTACTCAAACACATACCCACACACCTACATCCTCTCCCTCACACATATACCCAAGTGGGTAAATTTTCCATTAAGTAAATTTGGAAAAATTTAAAATTTCCTGGTATAGAACTTCTAGAAAACATCTGAAAAAAGCTTCCTCAAAATATCAAGTGTTGGCCTCACTGATAAGCCCTCAGTGATAAGTGTTCAACTGGAAATACAGTAAAATAGATTGCCTTATTTACTGGGTACTTTTTCATTGTCTGTTTCTCCCACTTAATTCACCACTATAATTCGAACATCCTCAAGAGTGTCTAGCAACAAATGTATATGTGTACACAAACAAGTGCTTAGAGCAAGGTATTATTAAAGTTGAGGAAGATACAAATTGATCCAGAATGATAGTTATTTAGTCAACAAGAAATGCCTTGAATACATAGATGCTATAATCAGATAAAGTCAGATTTCAGTACTCTGGTGGCTAGGAATCAAGTGACACTTTTCCACTGAAAATGAAATACAAGTTGAAGAGGGATTAGACTGCTTTGGAATTTGGGCAAGCCAAACCCGCATCATTGAACTTTTTCAATTACAGATCCAATAAGCAGCTAGACACTGAATAGAATTGCGTCTGAAGACCTTGGTTCAGCCATGACTATGTCCCCATAAGATTTGGGCCAAGGAGACACAGAGTCCTCAGTCATGCAGTGTGTCCAGAAGACCTGCCCTGCCTTCTTTACAGAACTGTTGTGAGAATCAAGTGCAATTAAAATATGTATATTCTTATTCTTCAGTAATATTTTTAAGCAATATGTCCTTATTGCAATCAACACTGTAAAGGAGAGTCATTGTAGCAGGCATGGTGGGGGGGGCACTTGGCTCTCCCTTGAAACAGGAACTTGGTGATGAGTGGGCTATCTGACAGCCTTCCTCTGTAGAAGCTTCTGGATCTCCCACAGCATCAGAAGGTTGTGTTTTCCTTGAGCAGTCTCTGGGAATGACTTACATGGTGCTGTGTGTCCTAAGACCTAGCCATTTCTGCCTCACATGGGACTGTATCCTCTATGAGCAATCCTTGCTCTGAATCGTACCAGCGGGCTGGCCAGGACTCTCTCAGAGCTGTATCTCAGCTGGATGGTTTCCTTACTCCCACCTCCCTCCTTCTCTCTCTCCTTTCATAGGGCTCAGACGACATCACAGTCCAAATCTCTCCCTGCCTATTCCTTCCCCTCACCCCTTATCTTTCTCAGGCATCACCTCTAACAAATGTTTGCATTTCTTACTCTTGTCTTGGCATCTGAGTTCCAAAAGACCCAACTAACATGATCCCTCAAACCCTAATCATCTAAAAAACAACCCTGTCAATATTTTGAATTTTATCTTTCTTTCCAGAGATTTTCATTACGGATAAGCATGGTGGGCTTTTTAAGATGGTTGATTTCTACCTCCTCTTCCTCTTCCCATCGTATCAGGCATTTATGAATGAAGCATTTTGAAGAACATAAGCCTCATAAAATGCTAGCCACCAGCAGATGCTCACCCTTTTTGACAACCACGGTGCTTGAGGAGACTCAGACATTTCTTGAGCACACAGTGTTCAATGGTGCAAACCAGTGAATCAGAGTTCGCTGGCATCTTCTGAAAGCTTTGTAGAGGGAGGCTCAGACTCTTCCTGCATCCCAGCTGGGACCTCCGCGGTCTCTTTCCATGCTGGCCTGAGTTTGCTGAAGTCTAGCTGAGAGTGACCAGAAGCCACAATTCCTGCAGCTCTGAGCAGTCCGCTCCTTAGAAGCCACAGTTAGGTCTGCTCAGCTCCTGGTTTCTATGTGATACCGTGCAGGTGCCCTGGAAGGGAGACTCAGTAGGGCATCAGGAACTTGAACCGACAAAGAGCTCCTTCATCAAATGCTCCTGACCTGACTTAGAGACATAACTTGCCACCGACCTTGGGAAAGCTGAACCCATGCAGCTGTCGGGTTGGTTGGTAGGTAGACTCTCAGAGCTCCTCTGAGAGCACTCCTCAGCTGCTGTTTTAGAGGAGAGAATCCCAAGCACGGTTCCCATTGTTATCTCTTTCCTTCTAATTCAGTTTTGATTTTACTTCTGCCTTAAAGCTACTCTTGCATAAATATTTCATACATTTCATATATAGGCTTTCATAACATTTGAAGTCATTATGTAGATTGATTTCAACCAGAACTCTCTTTCTCTCTCTGTCTCTCTCTCTTTTTTTTAAACTTACTCCACTAAAGAGTTTATTTATTTATATATTTCAGTGCAGGCAAATCTGTATTTCCAAATGGTGTCTCTCTAGCTCTTCAACTTGATGATAAAATTCCACGGGGAATGTACCTGGGAAGGCGTGCTAGGATGGAGCCAGGCAAAATGGGTAAAGATGTGTGCTCCCTTTTTACACCGAATGGGACCAGTAACCTCTCTCAGCCTCTTACTCCTTATTTGTATTATAAAATAGGAATAATGTAGGATCCTTTTAGCTTTAGGAGGGAACAGTATCAGGAGGCATGCAATATTCCTTCAAAATAGCACTAATCTGAGGACACTTCTCTTCTTTTGAAGGGAAGTCCATAATTGGAATTAAAAAAAAAAAAAAAGATTACTTTCGTTCAGACTTAGGCTTACTCCCTTACTGCAAATCTGCTAATTCCATTTGTCTTAAAGCCACTCAAAACAGAGTCCTGGAGGCTGGGACCACAGCCCTCTTACCCTGGAGTAAAAGCATTTCTGATTTCTGTCTTACAGGTGATATTTGCAAACACTTTCCTTTTCTGTTACATTCCTTCCCTAAAATTGAGGTTTCAGGATTACAAATAAAATAGAGCTTACATTCACCAACATCTTCAGCATAAGGAATCTCAAAAACATTGTACCTTCACAGGTCCTACCACTTCTGAAACAAAGGCAGGACCAGGTCCTATAAAGATAATAGGTATTGCAGTCTCACACAGATTTGTCCCATGCTAGCTGCAAACATCTAAGCAAAGCTTCTCATCACCTTTATTTCTCATCTGGAAGGATGGTGACCCATGGTGACCACGTTTATAGTTTTCTCTTTAGGAGATATTTTTTAAAAGCCCGTTTTTATTTTTGCTTCTTACCAATATTTCTCTGTGGTTTGAACTTTCAAAACTGAGATCAATTTTCCAATTTCCATTATAGAATGTTTTCCTTTTCTCCGAAGTCAAAAAAAGGATCCCTCGAAGCCACAGAAAAATCATCTTTTGAAATCAATGAAAAGTGGGTAGAGGTATTGGATCTGGTGGGATTGGAACCGAAGAGAAAACAAAATCCGACTACCAAGGTGAGAAGCACCTGCTGAGGGGGAGGGGCTGAGTCAGGTAGCATTGCTCCCTGTGGATTCCAGTTTTGTCTTTCCCATCAATTAGTATGATGGGAAAATACTTGTAGTGTTCGATGATGTCTTCCACTGAGTTAAACTTCTGAAACACAGAACAGAAAGTTAATGAAAATTTGAATATCTTTTGTGTTGGTGGGTTAAAGGACAGAATAAGATGCTTCATTTTCCTTAGGGAAGATTAACTCAGTATTTTTTTTTTTTTTGAACTGTGAAGCTGTGTCAGAAAGTGTTAAAAAAAGAAAAAAAGAAAGAAAGAAAAGAAAAGAAACTGGAAAGACAGCTCCTGAAAGATGAGTGGTAAAAATGTTAACATGGGAGAGTAAGATGGTTGGGGAGACCAAAAGTGAGCAAGTCAGGGCTTGACCTTAACTGAGTGGATTGGTGGGAAGACCTACAGTGAGCTCCCTTCCAGAAACCCCTGTGTTCTAGTGAGTCCTGGGGTAATCAGAAGGAATAGAGCTTGCCACAAGGTTCTGGTAGTTCTTAGCCAATGACATTTCCTTCCCTGGGCTTCTTGTGAAATAATGAGGTGACAGCAGATCTTTACTTTTATGTTCCTGGAAATGCACAGATGAAGGGTTGTGGTGACTTAATGGACAGTGAGATTATTTCAAGTTAGGGAATCAGCATGTGCTTTGCTGAAGATACAGAACTGAGATGGGCTATACCTTCTGGGTGTCTAGATAAAGGGACAAGAAGGCTTAAGGATTCTAAAAGCAGAGAAAGAAGCATGAACAAAGGCAGGTGTTGAAGATGTGAGGACCCAGAGGGTGGTTCTGATGAGCTGAGTTTGGGTGTGCCCTCAAAGGAAATCCTGGAGGGTGAGTAGGAAGAGCTCACTCAGCCTGCCTTGCATGCCTTAAGACGATGTTGAGCCAAGGAGGCTTGGCTGTAACCCTAGGAGGTGAGCAGGGCAGGGGGAATGGCCTTCACGGAAGAGCTAAGGAAATTGCAGCTCAGGGATGTGGGCTGACCTGCTTCAAGGTCACAAAGGCAGGGTCCCAGGACCAGGAATGCAACCTGGCTTTTCTGGACACAAGTTGTCTGCTTTTCCCTTATACAGCTTGCCTACAGCTTGTGATCCTGGGTTCCAACAGGCTGGGATAGAGAAGGCACAGCTTGAAGGGAGGGAGCCCTGGTGGGGAAGACTTTGATGCTGCTCTAGTGTTGTGAACCCTCCCTCTGCCCAGTGCACCTAGCACAGAAATGTTTGTAGGCCTTCAGGATATTCAATAGGGAATGGCATTGTCATGATGCCTGTCCTCATGGAGATTGCATTCTGGTGGGAGCAGACGGAAAATAGCTTCCTATACAAGGAGGTAATTTCACTTAGGAATAATGTCCTCTGAAAATAATTAACTCAGAACTCGAGAACATCACTAGCCCCGCCCCCCCCACGAACCTTCCCTCAGGGCTGCCTGTGGCTACTGGGAGGGAACTCCTTTTCCTTGGGGGAACACTGCATTGAAAAGCTAAAGGTCTGTAATCACTGTGGTGGTCCCCTCCATCCTGCCACTTGTGGCTGATGTGAAGAATAAGGGAAAGACTTGGGGAAAGAGGCAGGGAATGATGAATCTCCTGACATGGCCCTAGATCCACTCCATCCCTGCCCATCCTGAAGACTGAGTCCACAAGCTTCCCCATTGTTCCTACCACAGCTCATCTGACTTAGGTTCTGTCTTTTCATGGTACAACAGTCCTGCTTGACTCTGTGACTTGCTCCTGCGCACCTGTTACTGGATCTGGTTTCAAGGAGATAACCCATCTGTCCACCCCTGAGACATACACAATAAATACTAATTCCTACCTGATGCTAAAGTAAGGTGGTTTCCTGCTTGTGCCACAGGGAATAAGGATAGTGTTAGAGAAGTCGTATGTGAAGGGCCTTTGGGGACCAAGTGCCTGAGTTCCTAACTAGGCTCTCCCACTTACTAGCTGTGTGACCTCGGGCAAGTTTCTCACACTCTCTGTTTCAGTTCCTCTATCGATGAACAGAAAGGTAAGTAACATCAGGACCCACCTCCAAGGGCCCTTGTGAGGATTAATTGAATTGACAGTTGACACATAGTCAGCATTTAGAAGACAGCTTGGTATACAGTGAGTGCTCAATACATGTCTCATTAACATGACCTCATCCCTTTTGGGTTTGCCAAGAATATGCACAAAGAGCATCTTTGTCACTGGAGAAGTTTATAGATGATCATTGCGTACCTCCAGGAAGGCATTTTTTTTTTTTTTTTTGGTATTTCACTTCCAGTTGTAAATTAAGAACAGTGTTTTCTTTCTCTTTTTTCAAATTTGACAAAACTGAAAGTGAGTAATGAAAATAAACTTCTCATGTGGAACTCTTCTGCAAAACTGGTTAACCCACATGGCACAGAGGAAAGCCTCTTCCCTGATCATCTTCAGAGGGAAAACGCCTGCTTCCTCTTCTCATTCCTGCTATCTTCAGGATGGTCTTGAAATAATAAGTGTGATATTAATTGTTTTAATAACCTACTGCATGGATGCCATTTTACATGAAATTATAATTTTAATAAATGGCAGGAAGCAAGTGAGGCAGGAGTGATAAATCATTACTGTCAGTTCTTATTATGCCCTTGTAGTGATAGGCCCACAACTGACATATTATTACCCTAAAGAGACTTCTTAAAAATATTATAATGAAGCTCTTATTTTCATAGGAAATGACTTTTCCAGGAGGGGAGCAAATGTCACCCTAATATTAAATCTTAAAATGTCTTTAAACCTTTTGTGTTTGCCTTATATCCCAACAGTAGGCAATGATTCAATGCCAGAAGAGTAAAGAAATCTGTCTGCGAGCACACGTAGGAGTAAAAGAAGAAAAGAGAGAAGCAAGCAGGGGAAATGAGAAGTTGTGATCTCGTGGGTTCATTGTTGGTCTCTACCTACTAGTCTTTAAAGTTTGATTCACCAAGTAAACATCAAGCATAATTTTTTGGTCACTTATCATAACCATCTGCAGGGCAAGGAAAGGTCTGATGATGGAAATGGCTCACTTCTATGAGCTTTCACAGAAACCTTGACCCACATGGTTTCTGAAGTCAGATGCAGGTTAGCAGCTGGCAGCAGGTGAAGCTCTGTGGGTTACTAATGGCAGGTGCATCTCTTGCTGGGGCTGGTGTTTTAGCAGTGGCTAAATATTTCCAGTCTCACCCCTGCTTAGGCGTGTGCATCGATGGGCACAGATGAGCAGGGTAGCCCCTGGGCAGTAAGGACTCTGTGTCCCCAGAATGGAGCATGAAGTCTAGCATAGTGGAGGCATAAAATGAATGGAGGGTCAGTAACTGAGCAAATGGGTAGACTGGGCTCAAAGGTGGTCCCCCAGAGATACGTCATGTCCCAATCCCAGGAATCTGTATTGCCTTATATGTCAAGAGTGGATAGTATTTCTCATGACAAAAGATGGGATCAGTTAAAGCAATTGCACTACTGGGTATTTACCCTAAAGATACAAATGTAGTGATCAGAAAGGGCACGTGCACCCCAATGTTTATGGCTGCAGTGTCCACAATAGCCAAACTATGGAGGAACCCAGATGTCTATCAACAGATGAATGGATAAAGAAAATGTGGTATATATATGTATATGTGTGCGTGTGTGTGTGTGTGTGTATACACACACACACACATATACATACATACATACATACATACATACATACATACAGTGGAATACTATGAAGCCATCAAAAATGAAATCTTGCCCTTTGCAATGATGTGGGTGGAATTAGAGGGTACTATGCTGAGCGAAATAAGTCAATCAGAGAAAGACAATTATCATATGATCTCTCCGATATGAGGAATTTGAGAGGCAGGGTGGGGGGTTGTGGGGTGTAGGGAAGGAAAAAATGAAACAAGATGTGATTGGAAGGGAGACAAACCACAAGAGACTCAATCTCAGGAAACAAACTGAGGGTTGCTGGGGGGGATATGGAGAGGGTGGTTGGGTTATGGACATTGGGAGGGTATGTGCTATGGTGAGAGCTGTGAAATGTGTAAGCCTGATGATTCACAGACCTGTAGCCCTGGGGCAAATAATATATTATATGTTAATTAAAAAAAAAGATGGGGTCAGTTGAGGATCTTTGTAGGAGGAGGGAATTCTGGGTTATCCCTAAAAGCAGTCATGCATACCTGTACCAGATTGAAGCACAGGGAGGAGATTCATCCAGAGAAGAGGAAGAGATTAGAGCAGACACAGAGATTGGGGCGATAGGGCTCATGGGACAAGGAGCTGAGGCTTGCCCACAGCCACCAGCAGCTGAAAGGGGCAAGGAGGGACTTTCCCTCCATGTCCAGAAGCCCTGCTAATACTTGGATTTCAGATGTCTGGCCGTCAAAACCACAAGAGAAGGCATTTCTGATGTTTGAAGTCACCAACTTGGTGGTGCTCTGTTAGAGGACCCAGGGCATGAAGACACGGGGTCTTTCCTAAATCTGAATTCAGACATGAGTTTCTAGCCATGTGGCTAACAGGATGACACAAATACCTACCAATGCAGCAAAATGGACCTCCCCAGGCCTATTCCTGGGAGATGTGGGTGGGTTTGCTCCCCTTCTGTGCTTGAGAAGATGTTGGCATGCTCGCCTGCTGGAGCCTTGTCCAGGCATCCCCTGCCACTCCCACATTCCAGGGAGAGCTGTGCTTCACTAGTGCCTGGGGGCACAGACCCAAGGCAGAGGCACTTGGGAATCATTTCTGATGGAAACCCCTACTCACTAAACACCTGCCTCTGTGTGTCTGAGTGTCTATGTGACTGTGTTTATGTCACCTCATCTAAGATGTAATAACTCCCTTGAGAGGGGTGTCACTGTGTTGGATGTGTGGTTAAATTCTCAAGTTTGCACGGCAGCCAGAAAGTCACACAAAACCAAAATTATCTTTGACAACCCTGTATCTCATCACCTTGCTCCCGCAGAGTCAAATGAAGATGCTATTTCTTTAGGCAAGCCCCAGAGGAGTAGCTGGAGTTGGCTTGCACTCAGCAGAGCCTTCCTGTATCAAATTCTCTCTCCCTTTTGTAAAGCTGGGAGCGTCTTCCCCAGCAAAGTGGGGGCTCCAGTGCCTGCTGAGGGGCAGGAGGGAGCTGAGAGCAAGCTGGACTGTCCCAGTCTGGCACCAGCGTCCAGCTCACGAGGCAGGAAAGTGTACAGTTGGGAAGTGTCCTTTCTCATTCAGTGCCTGGGGCATAGTAAGCTTCACGAAATTGTTAACTCTCCTTCACTCCGCATTCTGGACAGTTTTGGGGCAGGCTGCTGGTTGTTGGCATTTGGTCATGATGTTACCTGAGACCATATGAGTATTTTTGCAGAATGAAAAATGAAGCCTAGCCTTGCCCTGTACCTGCTGTGACTGGGGGGCTCGTTACTTAACATTTGTGTCTCAGTGTCACTGTTAAGTGGAAATATGGGTGGCATCATCGTCGCAGGTTGGCCAGGAAGGAATAAATTGCTGAAGTTAATTAGTAATTGTTCACAGGATAGGCCTTGTGCACGGCAAACATGCAGGTGTTAAATAAATGTAGGAAAAAGGAGGCTGGTTTGGGGGGGGCGGGTAACGAATGGGAGGAGAAAACTCCGGAATAACCCAAAAGGGGTTTTCTTAAAATAGGCATTTGAATCCTTGAGGGGTCTTTGGTGACGATAATTAGAGCAGCTCACCTGGAAGCTGACGGTCTAATCTGGGCTGTCATGGTTGGCAAGCGCTTCCCTGCTGAGGCGGGGAACTGGCTTAAGATCTGATTCAATGCTATTCAGATGTCATCCTGGAGTAAGATCGCCGTCTCCTCTGTTAGGAGCAGACTAAAGTGTGGCATGTTGGGGGAAAGCTGTTGTGACCTCTTTAGGTCCTCACCGTTGTGTCCTCATTGGTAAAAGGGTCTCAGTAATGCACCCTTCTCTGAGGTTTTTTGAGGTCCAGGTAAGAGAGCAAGTGACACAGCATCTCGCAGAGGCCCTGCGGGTCAGGGCGTGTGATTTCCACTTGCTCTGTGTCCCGAGCATTTAAAAGTCACAATACAACTTTTTTTTTTTTTTTTTTTTTTTTTTTTTTTTTTTTTTTT